AGAGTCGCCACCCTTTTTCGAACCAAATCAAATTTGAAGGTAGACCCGTCTTTGAGACCTCTGAAAAAGTCAGTATAAGCTACCTCATCCGGTAGCCCTTGAATCTGTATTCTCATTAGGTTAAACCGCCTGATGTAAGAACGAAGCCCCTCCTTCTCGCCCTGCTGAATTGTTCCCAAATCAAGGGTCGTTTTCTTCGCAGGGATGTTCATGGCAAAGTTGGAGGTGAATAAGTAAGCAAGCGTCCTGAAGCTATTTACACAACCAGTCGGCAGGTTGCCGAACCATTGTTGTGCGATTCCTTTGAGAGTCACTGGGAAACACTTGCACCAAGTGGGATCATCCAACCCTTGAAGGTACATCAGGTTGGTGAATGCCATCAGATGGTCTTCTGGGTTAGTAGTGCCGTCATAGGCGCCTACTAGTACATTTTTCACTTTGGCCGGCTGAGCGGCTTCAGTAATTTCCTTGGAGAAGGCCGACGGCTGTTCACCAAGTCTAAGCAACCGTAGCTGCCAAACCATAGGTTGGACGCTTTTTGCTGCAGGTCTACCAAACGGAGGTGGCTGCAAAAAATACTGTTGTTGCGGCACAAATGGTAAGTTTGGTACCGCCTGGTCGCTATGAAAGCCGGACTGACGGGAGGTGCCGCCTGAATGACTCTCATGATACGACTGAGTATGCCTCATCGAGGCATTTCGCAAACTGTCTTGAAAGTTTGAAGTAGAGGCCGACTCTGACAATCGGTCACTCTTCTTCTGCTCTAGCAGTAGCCGAGCGTCTGTGAATGTTTGCTTCGACCCGTCCGCCTGAATATGACGAACAGGTTTCCTATTTCCTGTAGGATAACGGAATTTTGTGAAATCAAGGGCAGGGGGCTCCCGCTTCCTAGATTTAGGATGAGGAGTCGCCTCTCGCCCTTGAACTGGCTTCCTCTTCAGTGAAGTGGAGGGTTTCTTGGCCGACTGCTCCTTGAATGGAGCAGGCGGCTTCTTGTTGATCAACTCTTGAATCTCTCCCTTGAAGTCCCTCATGAAGGTCATAAGTTCGTTCCTTGTGATGGGAGCAGACCCATCAGTCGGCTGTTGCCGAACAGGCGGTGCGCCTGCTGGCTCGCTTCCTTTTTGAAGATGCTCCCGTTCCCTCCTTTCGGTATGACGGGTACGTCGGGCCCTTAGGGTCCCGTCTGAAGCTGTATGAGCTTCAACTTCGAATTCACTTTCGGTATCATGGTCCGACTGAACTTGAGGGTCGTCTAGGGGACGCCTCTCTTCAGGAGTCGGTACAGACTTGGATGCCATCTCAGAAGTACTCTCCCCACAGACGGCGCCAAATGTTTCGGGGTTTTCTGATGTCCTGCGGAGAGTTACAATTCCGAGACTGGAACCGGACGCCTGTACCTGCAAAATAACGGAGACTCCTGTGAGCTCCGCCTCCAACGGTCAAGTTAGTACCTGATTAAGGAGTAATTAATGCGGAAATTAAAGTGATTAGGTCTCTCTAGGTGAGAGTGATTAACGTAGGTAATCTGCTTTGTTAGCGAGATCAGCCGGTTATTACTGTGTGTAATTAATGTGTTTTCTCCGTAATGTTTATGTGTTCTCTTTTTGTAATCCCCCTTAATGAGGATTAAGGGAGGTATTTATAACCTTGGAAAACGTGCCCATCCTAGGTTTAGGTTAACCTAGGGCCGATTGGGCTTCCCTCGGAAGTTGGGCCTGGGTGGCCGGTTTCTCCATTAGGCATGGAGTATGCCACATGTCGTGATATAACAGGTCCAAGGTGGACGAATAAGCGCGTGCCACGTGGGAAGCCCTGGCTGTTCCAACTGGGGGACACTTGGCAGGTCCTGATTGGCCCACGTGGCGCATTCCGATTGGTGGGAGCAAAATCCCCTAATCAACAGTGTTCCCTTATAATTCAAAAGTGTATCATTATAACCAACAACGGTTCCAATTCAAGAAATAAGGGTACCATTGAAATTAACAAGAAAAAGGGTACCTTTAATTTGTAAGGAACTAGGTTATCAATGTTGAGGTATAGGGATTGAACAATAAACTACCAATTCCACCAAAATATATATATATATATATATATATATATATATATATATATATATATATATATATATATATATATATATATATATAATTGAGATCATGTGATAAACAAGGTGAATAATAGGAATTAGGAAGTAATTTCAGTCATTGATCGCACTCCATCTAATGGCTCACATTGCACCCGCTCTCATTAATGGAATTCTCGTAATTTCACTGTTTTCAAACTTTTTCCCAGTTTTTTCAACTTTTAAGCCAATTTCATTTACTTTAAGACTGATTTCATTTAATTTTACTAAATTTTTCTAGTTCGCATTCACCATGTTGGAACAAACCGCACTTTTGTCTTAAATTAAATTCATTAGGTTAGTCAATTAAGCGAAAAGAAAAACAATCCGCGTAAATTATTATGCCTTCCCAAACCTTAAATTTTGTCGTAGATGAAGTGATATATATTTTGCAACTGATTTAAAAAATTTAGATAAGGGTCTGTTCTCTTACGTTGAAATTCAGTTCAGTTCAGTTCAGTTCAACTGAGTTCAGTTAAGTTAAGTTCAATTCAGTTCAGCTGAGTTCAGCCAATGAGAACAGGCCCTTAGAAATTCTCATATCTCATTTTTGTCTTGTAATCCTAATCCTAATTTGTTTAATACGGTTTTTACCCTATAAATTTTTAGCAATACCTTTTTTTTTTATAAATTTCAGTGAAACCCTACAAAATTTTAGTGGTACCCTACCAATTGTCAAAGGTATTTCATCAAACACCATTGTGAGTAACTAGAGAACGATTTATTCAATAATAATACCACTAAATATCATTTAACCAGTGCACCACTGTAACCAACTAGGGTTCCAATGTACCTATGTAGGGTTCAACTGATATAACAATGTCTCTATAATTAACAAGGGTACCATTATAACCAACAAAGGTTCCAATTCAAGAAACAAGGGTACCATTAAAATCAACAAGGAAAAGGGTACTAACGTTGAGGTTTAGGGATTGAACAATATACTACAAACATATTTACATCAAAGATCTAGATTCTAAGGAAAAGGAACTAATTGACATATATACGTCAAAGATCACTCAAAAGGAAAAGGATCTAGTACGTATAAGTTAATTTGTATAACTTTGAGACATATTTTTATATTATTTTTTTGGAAAAGGTAAGAAAAAATAAATATTAAGAAGCCCTCCTTACGAGGGGAATAACTTTGAGACATGACATTGGACTCTATATATATAGAAGTCACAGCATTCGACTTATAAGCAGATCAGATCAGCTAATCCTTACCTTTCAAAAAGTATGAAATAACTCTTATGAAAAGTGTTTGGACAATTATTCCCTTTAAAATATTTATTTACTTATTTGCCCTTATTAATGTTAAATACTTATTCGCCCTAGTATAAGCAAATGAGTTAATTATAAGGCAAGTTTTTTTTTCTTAATTATTATTTTGGTAATGTGATAGGACTACACAAAATAGTTGATTATGAAAAGACCATAACTTGGCTTCACTCAGATTTTTTTTGCCATAATTGTTAATTTTTAACTACTTATTGTGTTTCCCTTTAGCAATCACAGTACAAAGATTGTTAACAAACTTGAATTGTACATGTGCCCAAATGGGCAGGTACCTTTAGCATAGTTAACTGTTTCATTTACATACTGGGGAGTAGTATATAATTGGACCTTTGCCATATGCAATGGTACTATAATTGCACCTGAACCCATATGTAATTGTACCATTAACATATATAATTGAACAAATGTAATATGTAGTGGTACTAATTGTGGCCTCAATTCTTCACTTTTTATATTTAAACATAATCTACATATGTGCTGAAACTGCTAATTGAAAGTATTGTATGTTCAACTCCAGTAAAACATCGTACTACTATAACGTTTACCTTTGAAATTGCACCTTTGCAATAGTTATATGTACCTTTTACATATATAAATAAACAAATGTAATCTCTGGTGGTACTAATTGTGGATTCACTTTTGCACTTTGTATATTAAAACTTATTATACACATGTTTGATTAATTGACTGAAAGTATTTTGTATGATTGTATCTTATAAAGCACAAATAAGATAAATTGTAAGGGCATTAGAGTAGCTGAATCTCGAATTTCCCTTTCCGTAGCTAAACCAAGGAACAACCTGTAATTAGGATAAAATTAAAGCTACATCATGTGCAAGTTTATTACCCCCTACAATCTCACCCCTGCTAACTCTGATCACCGCACCAAAGCAGCATTGTTGAATATGAAGTTGTAGCAGCCCCATTATTCATGGCTAATTTTGATGGATTAAAATGATGATTTAATATTTAATTAATTAGAATAAAACAAAATAATAATATGATGGGATAATACATCTATAATACTCCACCATTTAATTCAATATTACGTCCACTAATTTCATATTCAAACCAATCAAATTCTTCTCTCATGCATTAAAACAACATACAAAGGGCCACGAATTTCTGTATCAAGGCCGGAAATGATGTACTCATATATTGATACATGATTTATTTCAGGTGTATAGTATAAGGTATAACACAATAAAATACAATCAAACAAACCCTTAACCCTACCTTATTCAATTTCAGCGTAAACCCGGAGTTTTATTAAACATCGAATTTCCCAATTGAAGTTTGGATATTCAGCTCACCTCACCTCATGTAATTGCTAACCTCTTTCAATAATGGAGTATACATCATTTTTCCCCAAATCATACCCCACTCTCACTCTCTCTCCCAATTTTCCAGTACTAAATAGCAATCCCTAATGACAACAAAATGAGCCCTAAGTAATTACTGTACTTGCCTCTTTCAATAATTGAGTATACAAATGCCCAAAAGCTTCGCCCTTTCAACAATTGAGACGCGCCTTTCACGAGAATTCAACTCCGGCCGAAAGATCTTGTCTTGCAATAACCCAATTTCACAGGGAAAACCCAGAAAAATTGTCATTCAAGAGGAGCTCAGAAATGGGGAGAGAGAAAGTGAGATGAAGCGTTCTTTTTGGGTAATGAGATAGAAAGTCAAGAGACAGTAAATCCCAATGAGACAAAAGGACAATAACGGAGTACTGACAATTTTCAAATTACATATTAATTGACACTTTTAACCCTGCGAGACATTACCAAATGTCTCACAACCCTCCGTTTGGAACGCCTCTGAAAGAACTTAGCATTCTCGCTCGCGAGGCTCGTGGTAGGTAAGACTGGACTGGAGTAGTAGTGGTGGGAGAGAATGAGATCTAAGTATCTAACCCCCCATAACTCTCCCAAACACATTGTTTCAATCATACATAGTTGACATCCCCATTATCAGCTCACCTAATTTCGCCCATAGTATCATTAATCATACCTAACACCATTCTTTCCCTTCAAAAATTAAAACCTCTTTTCCATTTTTTTTGTGTAACAAAACATCCCCTTCCAAAAAAATAGAAAATTAAAAAACAATGGATTTCTTGGAATCTCCTGAGATGAAAATCGTAGCCATTGGTGTGACAGTTGTTGTTGTTGCCGCTTCAGCTTCTTGCTTATTCTCTACGAAGAAGAAATCTAGAGGTGGGTATTTCATTTTGATTAGATTCTTTGTAATTTGAGTGTTTTTTTTATTTTTTATTTTATTTTTTTATTTCATAAAAAATGATCAAATTTGATTGATTTTGTTCATTGTAGTTTGCTTGGATCCTGAGAATTTCAAGGAATTTAAGCTTGTGAAACGCACCCAAATCAGTCATAATGTGGCTAAATTTACATTTGCGCTTCCTTCTCCAACTTCTGTCTTGGGTCTTCCCATTGGTCAACACATCAGTTGCAGGTATTAAACTTTATACATTGTGCTTTTTAGTGGGATTTTTATGAATTGTATTTTTGGTGAATTTCAGAAGATTTTTTTGATAATTTAAACAAATATTTAGAATTTTATTGGGTTGATTCATTTGTGATGGGTTTGACTTTCAATCTTTGGTACTATTATGATTATTTTTGGTGGGGTTGTAATTATTTGTATTCTTTTGATGAAACTCAGAAGATATTGCTGATATTTTGATGGTAAGATTATATTTTTATACTAGGTTGATTTATTTATGGTTAGTTTGATTATCAGTGTTTGGAAAATTAAGGAATTTATTATAGGAACGTTATTAATGTATGATTATGATCTGCTTGTGCTAACATTATTTATTATGATTATGAATTTAGTGCTAGTAATTAAAATAATAATTTGTTTTCCAATGTGTTGATATTAGGGGAAAGGATAGTCAAGGAGAGGAGGTCATTAAACCATACACTCCAACTACATTAGACTCTGATGTTGGGCGCTTTGAGTTAGTCATCAAGGCAAGTCTGAATTTTTTTTGAGTTGGTTTCACTCCCCAATTTCAGTACTTTGTTATATGATATTACCGCTTTGTTCTTGCAATCATGGAGTTGATGTCGCATTTGGTTTTATTCTAATTAGATGTATCCTCAAGGAAGAATGTCACACCATTTTCGGGAGATGCGTGTTGGTGATTATCTTGCTGTAAAGGGACCTAAGGTATGTTCTTTATTTTCCATGACGGGATTTGTTTGACTCTTATTCTGTCTGTCATTTTACGTAGAGTGCCTGTTGGGATATGTTATGAGTTTACCATTGAATGCAATATCATCAGGACTCTTAACTTCATAATTCTTTTTCATCGAGTTTATAGGGGCGCTTCAGATACCAGCCTGGTGAAGTGGCAGCTTTTGGGATGCTTGCTGGAGGTTCTGGCATCACTCCAATGTTTCAAGTAATTATTTATACTCACCTTTTTTAAATTACTTGTTCTTCAGTCTTCGTTGTTTATATGGAATATTTATATGTTTTGACAACAATCACATTGATTCCCTTCGTTATGTATGAACCAGGTAGCTAGAGCCATATTGGAGAACCCAAAAGACAAAACTAAAGTGCAGCTAATATATGCCAACGTGACTTATGAGGATATTCTTTTGAAGGTACTGATGTTACTTCCATATATACTAGTATATAAATTTAAATTATGTAAGCATTGTTGTGAAGCTAAATATTTTGCATTTTCTTTTCTTCCTAGTAATTTGTATGCTATCCCTTAACAGAGCAACTGCCCTGTTTTCTGTCAATTTGGCTTATCTTTTATTTTGTTGATTTTTTAATGCAATGTCAATGTGCTCAAGCCTTTTTTCTCACAAATTAACTTGATGTTTTGTATTTGTCAAAGTATTCTCTTTTCTTGTATGTACTTATGATATGTGGGGTTTCATCTGCCTATTATCTTATTTGTGGGTCATTATTGTTAGTTTTAACTAAGAATAATGTCTTTATGGATTTTTAGAAATAGATGGATTATATAGATCCATGAATGGTACACAATGTGCTAAAAGAATATATGAGAACGTTAGCTATCAACTTAGTTGCCTGAGGCTTTACAACTTTATCCGATCAATTCACTATGAGGTTTCAGGGAAGAGTAATCTGGATCTAGTGATCCAAAGTGTTGAAATACATATTCCCTAAAAAAATGGTGTGTTAGGATATATTAAGAACTGTACCACTTCTAGATATAGGCTAAACATTAGTAACTTAGGTAAATTTTGAATTAGAAATGCTCTTAAAAGGTAGAATCTGCTTGCAATTTCTCTCTGTACCATAAAAATCTAGATTTTAATTGGCTGCCTAGCTCCACAGCTTCAAGGAGAGGTAACTAAATTGAAGGGATATGCTTAAGAGTGAATAATAGAGAAAGAGAGAGGGAGAGCAAGGATTTCCAGCAGCTACTAGGGATAGAGGAATGCTTGGATAGGACAGGTTGCGTGGAGCTCTTTTATAGCCTTCTGATATGAAATGTGAAGAAAAATTTCAAAATCTTTAACATCCTTTTTGGCTGCTTCATCTATGATGACCAGAAAAGAGAATATAGGAGTCGAGAGACAGAGTTTTCATTGGCTATTTGTGCAGTATGATCAAATCTCAGGGGGATATAATGAAATTTTTGAAAATCAGAAGCAGTTTTGACCTTTTGAAATCCGTCTATGGCTTAAGAACTTAGTTATCAAACTTCTTGATTTGATCAACCATGCTTGGATATGGTCTTATGGACATTGTCTCTTAATAATGAACTTTTTTAACTCCGATTTTATCTCATATCGTTCCCTGTATTCTATATTTTTCTGTGAGCAGCTCTGGGAATATTTAAGGTGGATAAGAGATTAGTTTATCCTTGCCAACATCTATTGGAAGCAATAATAGCTTTTCAATTCTCTTTCCTTTCTTTAGATAACTATATACTTGTAAATAGTTTCTTGTGGAAGAGAAACATGCCATATCAGAGAGTTGACCAAGGACTCAAATTTGAACCTTTGCTGTTTTTGCATGGTGAAGGCTTAAAAATAATTGAAGAGCACAAATTTGAATTTCTTAATCCCCTTAAATTCTTGTATGAACTTGTTGTCCAAATATTGTAGTAGTATGGCAACTGATACTAAATTACAAAGGAGGGAAAAAAAAAATATACTTCCTCCGTTCTTTTTTTATCGCATCACTTACTACTTTAGGAAGTTTACTTATTATTGCATCATTTCCTTTTTAGGATAAAAAATATCTATGTTCACACTGCAAATGCCCAACATACCCTTACTTTTTCACACTTACTTTTTATTTTATGTTACATTACATGGACAATTTTGTATTTTTACGTTTCTCTCTCTTACTTTTTCCCACTACCAAATTTTGCCTCCAAAACCCCTATGATGCAATAAAAAAAAAAAACGGAGGAAGTATCTAATTTCCTCCTTTTCTTAACAGTTAACATAGTATTTGACATAAAATATCTGATTTTGAATTTTAATCTTCTTTTTTTTTTCTTTTTTTTTTTTTTATTATTATTATTATTATTATTATTATTATTATTATTATTATTTTTTTTTTTTTTTTAATCCTATATTTAGAAGTTGAATTCCAATTTAGTGTTGAATTTGTATTTTGTTTGACCACCTAGTCCCAGTAAGTCTGGACAGAGTCCTCTTATCCTTCATTGTCTCAATCCAAGTACTTCACTGCTCCTCTGATCTGTAGCTGTATTAAATATGCACACCTCGTCTGAGTGACATAGAAGCCAATTTAAGAAATTATAATTCTATTCCAGTCTACTGTTGTTACATGTACTTTCTAATTTCAACTATAATCTTTTGTACTGATAATATCAATGCATTAACTACTGTAAGACTTAATTATGGAAGTTTCTCTCTGTGATACTTGCCATACTTTGGTTGATATATAAGTACCATTGACATGAATTGATGTTGACAGCTCTTCTTTGAATTTTTGAATTGTTCAGGAGGAATTGGATGGGCTAGCGGAGAATTATCCTGACCGTTTTAGTATATACTATGTCCTTAATCAGGTTTGTAGCATCTCTAATTCTCATATTGTTTGAATTGGCGTTCTTCTATTATATTTCTATATTTTGGAGATTGAGGGATTGGAGGGGATATTAATTGTTATATGCATATCATCGTGCTCTAAATTTAAGTGTAGGTTATTTTCTCTTGTTTTACCTTCTCAAAAACTGCTGACCTGCCCTACCAATAAATTGCGCCATCTTATTCACTTGCTTCAGTCACCAAAAAAACCTTAATTGAATAATCATTCTATCTAGAGGTCACAAAATTGGGCTTGGATATGTTATGCTGCATTAGCCAAACATCTTTTATACAAGTCATAGAGTATAGCAGATTCCCATGAACCCATCCAAACATAATTTATATTCATGTATTTGCTAACGTTGTCTATGAAGTATAGTGGGTAAAACCTCTTAATTAATAAGTGCAAGGATGACAAACTATTTTCAGTATTTTTTTCATATACTGATTTTAAAATCCAAGAATGGATTAGGTATGATGAATACTTAAGGGGGGTTTATGAGATGTGAAAATAGCTTGAGGTTGCTCTGGTAATTGTAATGGCTCAACTTCATTTTGCCGAAATGGGAGGGGTGAGCTGCTTATCAAATTCCCATTTCCCTTTAACCGGGAAATCCCTACATACAAAAGAGGTAGTAGATTGGAAATTGTTGGTGCAACGTGCTGTTAATATTGCCAATTTTCTTGTTGATGAATACATTTATAGTGCAAATAATGTCTTCTTTTATCTTGTTTATATTTGGCCCTTAAACTTTATTTTTTTTTTTTACAAATGGAGCACTAATTATGTCTCCAAATGATATATATATACTCTGTACTATCTGTTGTATCCTCCTCTCCAGCAACATTTTCTGTTGTGTGCTATGAGCTATGTTTTGCAACTCCTCTCACCTAAATTAAATCATTTTGACTTTTGTTTTGGGATTACTGTTTCCTCTATACAGCCTCCTGAAGGATGGAAAGGCGGTGTTGGATTTGTAAGCAAGGAAATGATTCAAGAACACTGCCCTGCACCTTCATCAGATATACGGGTATGTTTGATAGCTTACTCCCTTCTGAACCTATAATCCTATATATTGCTGAATGACTGCAACTTTTGTACAAACTTTTATATCCATTTTATTCTTCCAATGAACCCAAATTACAAATTTTACAGATCTTGAGATGTGGCCCTCCGCCTATGAACAAAGCTATGGCTGCTCACCTGGAGGAACTGGGCTATTCTTCTGGCATGCAGTTTCAGTTCTGATCTCACTGATCCAGTAATATCGAGCTTCATATAAAACATGATATTGGGTTATACAGTGGCGTACTCTTTGATTCATTGGCTACCATGACTGGCTGCTGAACACCTTAAGTGGGATGTGATTTCTGCTGGTGTTTATGTTGATACCAGAAAATTTAAGATGCTTGTTCACATTGGTGTTAGGATGACATTCCTCCGAGAGTTTGACTCGTAAAGTTCCTGTTTAACTGTTTTGCTTGATTTACATTTAGATAATTGTTTTAACAAGGAATTAGCAAAAGGGTTATAAGTTTGCCTAATACAACAACACATGCATTTCATGATGTTTTAGGCCCTATTCTCTTCACCTTAAGGTGAAAATAATTTTAGTTTAGTTAAAATAATAATAGTTCGGCAAAAATAATTTTGGTAAGTAAAAGTAATTTTTTAATTATTACAAATCAGTAATTATAGTAGAGAATAATAATAATAATAATAATAATAATAATAATAATAATAATAATAATAATAATAATAAATAATAATAATAATAAATAAATACGCAGTAAGTTTAATCGGTGACAATAATTTCAGTTTAGTAAAACTAATTTTAGTTTAGCTAAAATAAGTAAAATTAGTATCACTTCAACAAATGTAAGTTGAAGAGAATAGGGCCTTAGTGGGCATTTTTCTTTCTTTCAATGTCCAATAATCCAACTATTAGTTGATTTGGCTGAAATTATTTTTACTATTATTAGCCTATTAGGGGTATTCATTAAGCTTTAGGCCAAATCTAATATATATGTATAAAGGGGAGTTTTTCCCCGAGTTTTTAGAGAGCCACGTAGGATTTATTTTTCTTAGCGTGCCATGTAGGATTATGAATTTAAGTTGTAGCCAATTAAATAAGAGATTATTAATTTATTTTACAATTAAAAAATTCAAATGCCATGTTAGCAAAATTGACGAACGAAATTTTAAAGTTTAAATTAATTAAACACAAAATATTATCTTTTAAGATTAGAAATTTTATCTAATATTTTAAAGCTAATATAATACGTAGTAACAAAAATCACGTAGATATGAAAAATATTTTTTTAAAAAAATACTAACAAACCGTGCATCGCACGGGTTTCATCTAGTTTAATTTGATCCAAAATGTAATTCAATTTTTTAATTTTCCAATTTGATCTGATCCTAATTTCTTTCTCAATCCAATCCAATCCAAATTTAAAGTCGGTTACTTGGATTTGATTTGAATTAAAAATACATTCAAAAGACACCTTAACCAGTGTCGGCTATGGGGTTGTGCAAAGAGACCCACAACATGGGGCCCCAAATTGGAGAGGGCCTCCAATTGAAAAATATTGGTACTTATATAAGAAATAATTAATGTCCCATATGTTATGTAAATGAAATCTGATAAGTTCGTAGTAGCTAGATACTGAAGTCATTTAACCTTGGGTTGTTAATCCCTAGTTCAAGCCTCAATTGCTGCTTTTTATATATTTTTTTAAAATTTCTGCCATTTTCTTTACTTTCTTTTTACTGCCTTTATTTTTCTTTAATTTTCTTTTTATAATTTATGTCTCTATTATTTTTTGTTTGTTCAGTCATTAGTCTAGGGAATTTGTTTATTCAGTCATTTGTCTCTATTATTTATGTCTCTATATATCTTTTGTTTGCTACTTTTTTAACGTAATAAACAGACTAAAAACTTAACATTTTAGGTTAAATAATTTATAAACATATTTATTCAAAAAATTAATAAATATACAGAATTTCTCTCAAAAAAGAGGATATATTTGGTTTAAACTTGAAAATGGAATGCTATTATCAAATTCATAAACTTAACAATACAATTATTAGTTTTATGTGTTTTATCATTTAAAAAAAGAAAGCTAATAGCAATGAGTTTAAAACTATGGAGCATAATTTTATATTTAAAATTATATGTTTCGAAATCATCGGGGCCTAATTTAAAAATAGCACAGGCCCCTAAATTGGTTGAGATGACCCTGGCCTTAAGTGGGATGTGATTTTTGTGGGTTTAATCCTATTTTTCCATTCACATTAGAAATCATCTCTATTTGTAGAGAATGAAGGATATACATAAATGAGTGTACCTCCAAAGTTATACTTTTTCACCCAAAAGACATCATGTAACTTATTAATGATAAATATTATAATCAACTACTTATGTTTCTAAGAGCACCTTAACCATGAATGAAGTGAATTGTTTGAGTTATTATTTACATAAATAATATTAAAAAAAAAATCAAATGTTGGTGAACAATGCGGTGAACAACAATGAACCGTATGGAAAAGCAAACCATCTGTGAGAAATTGTTTGTTTGACAAAGCATTAAAAAAATAGAGAATTAGTGACGCTAATAGCATTCAGAGCGCGCCACGTGTCGCCATACATGTCGTTGGATCTGCAACGGTTATTAACGTTATAATTTTTGTAACGTTAATAATTTTGACATATTATTTTAAAAAAAAATTACCCACGGTCAAAATTTTTCATTCTCTATAAATATAAAAACCCATATTGATATAGTTTCGACAACCTCAAAACTTACCTTTTTAAAAATCTTATTCTTAAAAAAAAAACAATAGTTTGTATTTTAATTTAATTTCTTCCACAAAACTAGCCAAAAAAATACAAATTATGAATCCAAACATTCCTAATTATGCTTTTAATAATCCAAAACCTCAAACAAATTAAAGCGCAAATCCAAAAAGAATCCACAACAAAATTCACCCAATTATCCTATGCATCAAGAAAAAATTGGGTTCAAACTCCCCCTAATCACCCACAAAATTCTCAACAAGTAATCCCTCAAAGTTTCACCTTAAATTTTGAGGGAAATTATCTAAATTACCTACCAAGCTTCCATAGGAATTTATATGTACTAAAAGCGGAATTTCGTGAATCATATTCATAAGCAACTAAAACAAGATCGCATACATAACGCACAAGACACATAATCATACCTTTGAAGCGTGAATTCCATGAAGCTATTCGATCGGTAAATCAGGGTAAGAATAGAGCCCCAAGTGTTGCTCCTCTACTTAATCCACGGGATTCGAATGAGCCGTCCAACAATACTGGATTGGTCGAGTGGAGGGGAAAACCACGATCACCACCTTTATCGGACAACCGACTACCGCACGAACCACCACCACCATGAGACATCATTGGGGCCGAGGAGGAAGAGGAGAGAGCTGTGTGTGTGTGAGAGGGTTGGTTTCGTGTTTTCTAATTAGGGTTTGATCCAACTGATCATGAATTGTTATGTTCAAACCCTAGGCACCTAGTCTATATATAATCCCATTATAACCATTATATATAGACTAGGTTACGAAGCCCAAAATCCTCCAAACCTACTCCTATGGTCAGGCACCTAGAGTGATGAGCCCCATTATGAGCCTCGTCCTTTAATGCTCGGTCTAGGCCCTTTGTGTGGCCTTATAAGATCTGTCCAATTTGACTTTGGCCTATTTTACTAGCCCAAAGATCGTTAGTACCTCTAGCTATGACACTACAAGAAAAAGGGTAATTAGCGACGGCCAAAGTAGTCGCAAATCCGTTGCAAAAATGGATTTGCGACGGATTTGCAACTACTTTGGTTCGTTGCCAAAGACCTCGTCGCAAATCCATTTTTGCGACTAATTTTTGAACAGTCGCAAATTTAGCGACAGATTTGCAACGCCTTTGCAACTACCATTTAGCGACTAACTTTCAAATTTTAGCAACTAAATTATTGTCCGTCGTAATATATTTGCGGCGGATTAGCAACTACAAAGATCAATGTTTTAAGACTATTTTTGCGACGAATTAGCGACTGCAAGACCAAATTTTTGCGACTACGAGACTAAACTTTTGCGACTACGGAGACTAGTTTTATTGTGACGGATTTGCGACTATTAAGACTAATGTTTTTTTGCGACGGATTAGCAACTACATACAAGACCAAATTTTTGCGACTACAAAACTAATTATTTGTGACAGATTAGCGACTATTGAGACTAATGATTTTGCAACTAACCAATTAGTCTCTAAATCAAATTTGCAGTCGCTAAATATTTGCGACTAACTATCAATATTTGAGACCATAATTAAGCGACGATCAATATTAATCACAAAACAAAAAAGGTACCCACGCATAAATTCAAATAACCAAAATGTTAATTTTATTCAAATATCCAAAATATCAATCAATTTTGTATCAATGTATTAAAAAACAAAATTTAACTCATATGACTAATTGTTCCAAAACTCACCTACCATATAAAAAAAGCTACTTCAAACAAGAATTGATGAGAATTTAAAAGACCAGTTGTTCATAAAATTACCACCAAGAAAATAAAAATCACTTAGTTGTATCACGAGAGCGGGTGACTGCAGGCGTAGGAGGCTTATAAGGACGGTAAACTTGTTTTACAAGTGATGCCATTTCCTGCAATGTTTTTTGCATAGCTAATTTTTCCTTCTTCCATGTAGCTTTTTCGATCTCATGATTTTCGACGAATTCCTCAGCACATTTTAAGCTCTCTGCCGCTATTTTTTGGCTTTCTTCTACCTTGTTATGGTTTTCTTCCGCCATCTTCTTTAGTTCTTCAACTTGAGAACTTAATTGAGAAATCATGGAAGGAGTGGAAGATGATGCAGTAGATTGAGAAGTAGGATCACTCTTGTAATACATATGTGAAGCACTCCCTAAACTGTAGACTTTTCCTTTCTTTTGCCCACCTACAACCTCCAAGTAGACTTTGTCGGGGTTTATCTCAATTCCTTTGTTCTTATATTCCTCAAGTTTTTCCATATATTCTCCCTGCATTAAGATATGTATTAGTAACTATGATCTCAAATGTTAAAACTTAAATAAACTAAATACATTTTAAAAAAAAAAACAACTATAATAAAAATACAAGCAATGACTCGGGACATCGTCCGGGATAAAAACTTATTTGGACTTCTAAAACACAATTTAATTTAATTGTTATCTTATAGTCTTTCATTTTGGACATCAGATCAGTACATAGCAGTAAAAACTTGCCTTTAGATACCATCTGATTTATTTAGATACCATCAGAGTTTGGTTACAAAGTGAAAAGTTAGGTGATGGTCTAAGCAAATGGTATTGATGGCGGTGAGGGTCCAAGCAGTTATTAGTAAAATAATTTATGTAAGCAGTTATTATTAAAAATTTCGACAGAGTCTCCTTTGTAAATTGAAGGATTCCCTCCTATAGGGTATGACTTCAAAATAAACCTGTTTCAATTCACATTATGCCATACCACATTAATCATATGATTAATGCCGGCAAATCATTCTCATCCTCCAACTCAATCACACAAACAAATAAACAATCCATTATATCTCCAAACATTAACTACCATATATCTTTTTGTAATCTTAGAAAAATATAGAAGTATACTCATACCATGACTTTTTTTGAGACTTGTCACCCATCAATTCAACTTCATCATTTCCCACCCAAACAGAATGAGTGCTCTCATAGACTTCAGTAGCAGTTGGTAAAATTCCATCCTTTTTCTTTGCCTTGTATTAGAAGAAGTTGTTAGCACTTAAATAAAACAACAAAAAATAGGGGGACATAGACTACAGAGCAATTGTAATAAAGACCAGTTATAGTCATCTATATTAGTGGCTAAAAAGTTTCTACTTGCTTCAATCTTATATTAAAAATCATAAGTTTGCTGCTAAAATCATACACTTACCATTTTTTTAACCACTTGAGGAGTAGATATGCTACCTTGGCGATGACCAGGGTCAAACTTCTCTAATGTTTGGCCAGATAACCGATTATCTCTTGCTTGGTTAGAACGTTTCACAAAATCAGGATGCTTACGCTTATTTATGAATTCAGCTCGAACAGTGTCTGTCATGAAACTAACTTGCTTATGGAGAGCCATTTTGAAAACTTGGTTCAATGTACCCCTAAGTCGGTCCCCAGCTTTTTTGTCAAATTCTCTCCTAGCCTTAGCATCGAACTCAAGTCTCCAAGTATATGTACGCTGCACATAATTAACAAGTAAAGTAAATTATTTTAACTCAAAATAGCATATTATACATTAATAATTTTATTTCTGATTTATTTAACATAAAGCAGCCCAACTTCAGATTGTTGTCTCTAACTTCAGACTGTTTTATCTAGGCATGCAGTAAATATGGCCAGCAGTACCAAGTGAAATATAAATCAGAGTATAAATCAGATACAATTGTGCCATCACTCCAAAAGGGCAACAGAGTATATGCATTAATTTAATAGTTGTCTGCTACCTATATGGTCAGCCATTGGGTGATATATCTGTCATCCCTTAAGCATCCAAACACTAGCTAACATGTAGAGCCTTCTTGAAGATCAAACAAGATTCTGGCATACTAGCATTGTAGCCTCTATTGTGAAGTTTGTAAACTTTCTCTAAATGTCGATTTTACAGGTTATTTTTTGGCATATACATCATACTATTTTTAGCTCATAACTAGTGTGTGGCCCGAAATATGCCTCGGGTTGCTATTCATCCGCTAGCTAGGTAAATATATTGAAACGGTTTTAATGTCATTTAACTCTTAACATTCATATTGTACAAGGTAACAGAAATAACACTGTCTTGAATGTCTACCACTCACTCACTGGCCAGCAAGCTAAGGTCCATCTAGGGTGAATTTGCATAAGTAGATCTTTTAATAGAAAAAAGAGCAATAACCACCAACTCATTACCTGCTGCTACTACTGCTGGGGTTTTACGCATCAATGTTGATGCTGCTGTAAAGGAGGGATGGGGAGTGGGTCTTGGGGCTGTGATCAGAGATGACCAGGGCAAAATTAGTTTTCAACATAAATGCAATCCATTAGTTTTCCTTTAGTTGGGAGCTCAAGGGAGCTACTTTAAAGGTCAAACATAGAACAATAAATCATGATCATCAATCATCAAGAGTAACTCACTTCATCTAGATCAAGCAGAACTTGTCAATTGGCATTTAGTCTGACTGATTGGTTCCTAATACCAGTGCAGGAGTTAAAAATGGCTAAATCTACTCTACCCTAATATGAAATGCTTTCCACATAGAATAGGCCATGCTTTCCACAAAGAATAAGAGACTCAAAGCTAATATTGAAACATGCAACTTCACTAGTTTAAGAGCAATGAATACAAGAGAAAATCTTAAATTCTAAACATACCTTAAACTCAGTGAACCAACGATCCCTAACCATAAGTGGAACCTCAGTAAAATTCATGTATGGGTGGTTGTAGTGTGCCTTCCAAGATTTTGTGACATTACCACTAACGGTATGGTCATCAAACCTGATGCAAGAAAGATTAAGCACAGGCATAAAAAATGATAATAAGCTACTAAGACAACAAATATAATACATAGATGAATATAACTGACCATAGCCCATCTGGTGAGAGCTCAATCTTTCCTTGTTCCACTCCATTCAAATTTTGTGGTGCCACATCATTCTAACAGTAGCATCAGTATTAGAATTTACTTGTACCTGTTCATTAGAAGGTGGTGGTGTGGGTCGTGTGACTACAGGATTGTCTTGATCAACCGATTGATTATTGGCTCGGACACCGCCTTGATTACCTCCCCGACCAATTTTTGAATTTTTCATGAAGGATTTCATTTCCAAAGAACTGGAAAGATCATAAGCTCAAAAATTAATTTATACATAATAACCCATGATAAAAAAAAAATTTAAAAAAAGTAAGCTCACAAACATGATCAACAAATTTTAAAACATTTATCATATATCAAACAAATAAGATAAAACATATTGTCTATCAAACAAATAAGCCCATAACAAAGAAAACATATTGAAAACTACAAGCTTTGAAATTATTCTTCTTCTTCATCCTCATCATCATCATCATCCTCGTCATCGCAATAAGTATATCCTAACTCTCCACGATTCAGTATCATCCCATTCATCTTCTTCATGTTGTTCTTCCTCTTCACCATCTGAGGCGTCCTCCTCCATTTCATCCAGATCCTCGTACATAACACCATCATCATCATCTGAACAAAGGGTTGGTGTCTCAGCAATGTCTACTTGGAAAATTGACTCATTGATTGGGACATCCACAGTTGACCTAGCTTTAGTCTTAAAAACAGCCCACCATTGACTCTTATCTTTCTTTAAGCTTGGATAAGCTGTAAAATACACTTGATAAACCTGATGTGCTAGAACAAAAGGATCATATGCAGGGTATTTCTTAGAGTGGTTCACATCAACTAATCTATACTGCTCATGAATATTCATGACATTCACTGAATCCATCCAATTACATTTAAACAAGACGGTTTTGAAGACATTTATGGTCCCCAAGTAGACCAGCTCAATGACTTCTTCTAAAATGCCAAAGTAATCAATTTCCTCCTCACTTATTACACCCACACCATAATTCATAGTTGCCTTGTGCTTTCCATAATCAAAAGTGTGAAACTTAAAGCCATTGATGTCAAATTGCCTCCATGTTTTGACTTGTCTAGACGGACCCATGGCAAGTGCTCGAATCACTTCATCAGTCTCATTAGATTTGATAACCTAATTTCAAATTCAAGCCATTAATTAATAAAATATATAACCTTAGTCATATTTAGCGAATGATATATTGAAACTTGATTGTAAAAACTTACGAAATCCTGAAACCATTTGGAAAATTCATGTGAAAACTTGCTCCAAATATCATGAAGGTCAATACCAGGATATTTTTGCATCATCGACTCTTCAAACTTCCTATAAACCTTAAAACGTCAATTATCTAGCAAATTGCATAAAATAACTACCAATTATAGAAATTTGTACCTTTCATATTCTCCTAACACACCACAATTAGAAAGAACATAGTGGCGTGCATGCTTGACTTCTTTCGAATCTAAAAACCTTGTTTGAACACCTTTTCCACGACCTTTGCTAAATTGGAATAATTCTGGTATAGTTGAATCTAGATCATCATCATCAACAACATTGCGTCCTAGATCTCTAGATTTCGTATCAACATGAGGTTGAAAGTAATAAGAACAAAAGTTGGAAATCTCTTCTGCAAGATAAGCCTTGCAAATTGAGCCTTCAACTCGTGCCTTATTACCAATTTTCTTCTTCGGATGATTAAGAAATCTACAAAATAAGTTAAATTGACTCATTAACATGTAACATTATAAACCATATAGAAGAAACTTTAAAACAATGGAGTGGCTTGGGAAAATGTATATTACCTCTCAAATGGATACATCCATCTATATTGCACAGGACCACCCACTTTTACTTCATGTGGCAAATGAACAGGTAAATGCTCCATTGAATTGAAAAATGCAGGTGGGAATATTTTCTCCAACTTGCATAAGATTTCTGGAACGTTTTTTTCTAAACGAGTCACATCATCAACTTTAATAGTGTAAGAGCATACATCGCGAAAAAATTGGCTGATTTCAGTGACTGCTTTCCAAACATTATCCGGAAGTTCTCTCATTGCAACGGGAAACAACCTTTCCATGAACACATGACAATCATGGCTTTTCATTCCATGTATCTTACAGGCTTGCAAATCCACACATCTACCAAAATCAGAAGCATATCCATCTGGAAACTTAAGATCTTTTATCCATTCACACAACACTCTACGTTGTGCTTTATCAAGAGTGTATGGTGCTTTTGGGTAGATCAAGCTCCCATCATCAGATTCAATAGGCTCTAAGCTACTCCGCTTACAATATCGCTGAACATCTAGGCGAGCCTTATCTGTATCAACTGCGGTATCTTTCACATTCATTATTGTGTGGATGAGTTGATCAAAAAAATTCTTTTCAATGTGCATAACATCTAAATTATGTCGAATCAACAAATCTTTCCAATAAGGAAGCTCCCAAAAGATGCTTTTCTTATGCCACCCTATCTTAACCTTTTTTGATTTTGTCGAACGGATTTTTGGATCAATGGACTTTGGGATCTCCTTAACCTACTCCCATAGTTGATGGCCCGTCAATATTGGAGGAGGCAATCGAGTTTCTGCTCTTTTTTTGAAAAAAGCAGTGCGGTTTTTTCTATAAGGATATGTAGGAGGGAGAAATTGACGGTGACTATCAAACCATGATACTTTAGAGCCGTTGTCTAGCCAAAAAGATCTATGCTTGTCCATGCAGTATGGACAAGCCATCTTTCCCGATGTAGTCCAACCAGATAACATCCCAAACACAGGAAAGTCACTAACCGTCCATAAAAGGGCAGCTCATAACTTGAAATTTTGCTTTGTGGATACATCATATGTCATTGTACCTACTTCCCATAAAGATTTCAATTCGTCAATCAAGGGTTGCATGTACACATCCAAGTTCCCTTTTGGGTTTTTAGGACCCGGAATGAGCAAGGATAAAAACATAAACGGCTTCTTCATACATAACCATGGAGGCAAGTTATATGGGGTAACAATTACTGGCCAACAAGAATATTGCCTTCCAAATTTTCCATGTGCTGAGAAACCATCTGTGCATAGACCCAATCTAACATTACGGGGCTCACTTGCAAAATCCTTGTATGTGTTATCAAGATATTTCCATGCTTCACTATCACTTGGATGGGCGAGTGTTCCACTTACCCTAGGATTTTGTGAATGCCACTGCATTTCATGTGCAAGGTCTTTGGTCGCATAGAGCCTTTGCAACCTTGGCGCGATCGGGAAGTAGAATAACACTTTAGACGGCACACATTTTCCACGAGAAGTCTTCTTATAACGCCCCCCCCCCCCCCCCCCCCCCGCATTTTGAACACTTTTCAAGGTGAGCTTTATCCTTCCAAAATAACATGCATCCTTTAGGGCATGCATGTATCTTCTCATGAGGAAGTTCAAGGCCCTTTACCACCTTTTTAGTGTCATAGTACGTCTTGGACATTGAATTCTCTTCAGGAATTACTTCACTAATGAGTGATGAAATACTATCGACACATCTATGGGGCAAGTTGTATTCACACTTCAAGCTCGTAATCCTTGAAGCCATCTCTAAAACAGATAATCGACTTCCTTCATACAATGGTTTTTGTGCGGCTGCTAACATCTCAAAAAACTTCTTAACTTGAGGATTAGGTTCTTCTTCAACATTCCGAATATCTTCATGCATTGGATCACCATCAACTTGACCAAATGCATCAATAATCATGTCAACATACGGATCTGATGGCTCATCTGATGCTTTTAAAGAATCAAAATCCTCTCCATGACAAACCCATTCATAGTAGTCATTAAGAAATCCTTTTTTATACAAATGCTCTCTTACACTTTCAACATCTAAAAAAGGAACATTTTTACACTTTGAACAAGGGCATATGATCTTTGAAGATTCTTGAAAATCACGGTGTTGTTTAGCAAACTCAATAAACTCTCGCACGTCAATTGTGAACTCTTTTTTTAGTAGTCGACCTTCTAATCTCTCATACATCCATTTTCGATTCAATTTCTCCATGATCCTAACTGTTAAACGACATTGTTAATCATACACATATATGTAATATAGTCTTCTTATATATGTAATTTATTCTTATTATATACGTTACTTAGTTATTTAGGCAATTACTTAGAAGACAAAAGAAAGATAAGCAAGAAAAGGTGCAGCAGTTAAGTCATATAGTGTATACACAATCCTTTTTCTTTATTTTGGAAACAATGGAAAAAGAAGTGTTTAGTAGAGCAGCCACGTCATTGGTTGAAGTACAGATATCCACAGATTTCAAGCAACTTAGAGAAGACGATAGGTCATTTAATTAACACATATACAAGCAAATGACAGCAATGGTGGTAGTTTAGATTTGAATGTGGGCATCAGTCGTAATTACTAATCCACAATCAGGTTGATGATGCTTAAACAAATGTTTCCCTCATCGACAATCCCATGAAAATGGTAGGAGCTTCTCAATATCGATAGAACATATGGGAAAATGAGACTTTAGTAGTATTTATTACTAAACAAGTGGAATATCTGCAGGGCATGTGCATGGCATTGTCTTGTTCCAAGCAATGTACAAAATTATATATCACAGACCACACATTTAATTATAATCTTAATGCATATAAAATATCATATATACACCTTGGTTAAGGAGAAAAGAACTTCCTCAAATTTGACTTCATGCATCTGTTGATGCATAGACATTTATGCTTATGTTTACTTGCATTTCAATATTTCCCAACTGAGGGAGTTTTTTTTGTTATAGATGTTTTAAAAAACAGTTAACTCTCACAAGTCACAATCAATAATTGAGCATATACTTCTAAACATCTCATTAGATTTAACTATACATTACATCATAATTGAGTGATACTGGATATTCCACGCATACGCATACACATAGACCAAAGCAACTAAAAAAAACAATATTTAATTAAATTTATGATCATTCAGCAATAGTAAAAGTCACTCGGCTCTACCACCTATGCAAAATCAGTAGAAAGTCTGTACATACGTGAAGTAAATACAGTTTGTGGCAATTCTCAGCAGATAACTTCAACTAGTCTGAAATATGGAATGTTAACTTACTCTTAATAGCATAGGCAAGCTTAAGTTAAAATATACTGACATAAAATTGGTTTATCTGATATCCTGCAAGGCACGACATCCAACTTTTTAAGTTGATAATTTATTGATCATTTATTTTATTCAGGAATAGAAAGTTCGTTATATCATCACTAGTAGATCAAATTATCTGCTTTTTATTACCATTTACCAATAGCACCGCTAAACTTTAAATATCTAATCGAGAAATACTAATTCCTAATTCTAGTTAGTTAATTCGTATTATTTTCAAGAATAATTCTCGCATCTGTGATATTATCAGATTAAACCAATTTGCAATTCAATCAATAATTAGATTAATATCAATTCGCAATAGAAACCCAATTAAAATAAAAAAATCGGACAAAAAACTCAATTAACATACTGTTATTCTAGCCCCTAACTTGCTGCCCCACAACTCAATTAACTAACACCTTATTACAAGAGCGTAATAAGGAATAACTTGCTGCCCCACAACTCAAATTAGGAGCAAACTCAATTAACATACTGTTATTCTAGCCCCTAAGTTGCTGCCCCTAAGTTGCTCTGATTTTATTATGTTTTTTAGCCTAATTTGCATTGTGGTTTTCCTCATCTAATGGTATCCTCATCTAATGGCCAAGGTTGATGTCACATAGATGTTGGGAAATAAAACCGGATTTGACAATGACAACAATACACCTTATTCAACCCAGATAAGAAGATGAGGGTAGTGGGAAATGTGAGGATATCAAAATCAACATACGTAGTATGTAATTAACACTATTAAAAGTTTCTTAGTCAAGTTAACAGTGAATGACCAAGAAACTTGCATGCTTAATTACAAGTTCTTCACCCCTGACTCCCTGAGTCCTTACCCAAGTAGTTTGCACAACTCACAACAACTATATGTTCACTAAGAAACCTGAAGTTGAAATGCATAACTCCAGCACCAATTCGCTTTAATGATTTGCTAATATATTTAACTTCATAATAACTCCAAACACATTTCCAATCCAAAAGCAACTCCAATTCTCCAAATAAGTGATCCATGATTACACATTATATAGAGGTGAAGTGAATTCAGATCAAGCAGATACTCAGAAAACAGAATGAGTGAATGCATTTATGCATTCGATGCCGGGTCAAGGTAAATTTTTATATCCAATTAGAATAACTTGCTGCCCCACAACTCAAATTAGGAGCAAACTCAATTAACATACTGTTATTCTAGCAACCACCCACAACGGTTGCCATGACAACCAACCAGCAGCAAATTAGGCTCAAAAACATAATAAAATCAGAGCAAACAAGAATTCAATTATAACTAGCGAGCCTCAATACCCTCTAATGAACAGGAATTCAGAGCAAAACGAGAATTCAATTAACAACAAACCCCCCCCCCCTTCTTCATGAAATATACTTGTATATATTTTACAAATAATAATTAAAAAAAAGGGGTCGAAATAACTAGAAATGGGATTTTTACATTGAAAATCATTCGGGATTTTTGCATACTCAATCAATTTTGATTGATTTTTAATTAATTGACTTCAATTAGACCATGGAAACCAAATTAAAATCAATAATTGGACCCAAAAAAAAATCAATGATAACCCTAAAATTCATAGTCGACAAATTACAATAAGCGAAGGGTGGAAGGCATTTAAACTTACCTGGGAAGAGATGTGGTGGCGCAGCGGAGCTAAGGAAGGTGAAGAATGACGGTGAGGGGCTGAGGGTTGATTCTCTTTGAAAAACCCTTCTGCGTGTATCTTGAGTGATTAATTCTTTTTTTTTTCTTTTTTTTGTTTTGTTTCACGAGTTAAATGATTAAGGATTTTTTTTATTTATTTAGGAAGAGTATGATAGTTCTTGTTTTTGACGGTGAATAAGAGTATAAGACTGATTGATAATTCTTGTTTTTTTGCGGCAATAACCTTTTTTTTTTCCTTTTTTTTAGGAATAAGGGTTTTTTTTTTATTATTTTTTAATTATACTAAGGGCTTTTTTTATTTCTTTTTAATAAATATTAAAAATAATAGTAGCGACTACCGTGTTAGTTGCAAATTATTACAAGAGCGTCGCAGATTAGCGACTGCATAGCAACTATTATAAATTCGGTTGCAAATTTTGTGACTACTCGTCTTTTTCTGTCGCAAAAATATTTTTTGCAACTGATTATTATAGTAGTCGCAAAAACCAGTCGCTAATTAACGACCGTATAGAAACTACTGCAAATTCAGTTGCAAAATTTGCGACTACTCGTCTTTTTCAGTCGCTAAAATTATTTTTACAACTAATTATTATGGTAGTCGCAAAATTCCGTTGCTAATTCACCTTTTTCTTGTAGTGTGATATAACGACGACCCAAATGAACAAACTTAATTATCTCCATAATTTGGTCCATTTATATATCTAGTAATTGCACATGACGAAGGCATAAATCCTTTAATATCCCACTTGTCTGAGACAAGTGTGCAATATTCAAATTCCTTAAGTCAATATGTGTCGATTTGATAGTATGATTGCATCCCATGTTGAGATCATATTAATCTACAAATCGTTTCTTGAAATATGAGTTAGAATTACAAAACCAAATGATTACTGAGTAATACATTTGAACGCGGCCACATATTTTTTGAATTCTCCCTCTTCAGCGGCCATGACACATTTCCTAATTTAATAGGTAGATTCAATCCAATCTTGTAGCAACCAAGGCCCCCACTCAACTTTTGAAGCAACGATGAAACACCCTTTATAATCTCCAAGTACTGGAAGACGTTTGAATGTACCACAGTTAAATCAATCATTGAATAGAATCAATGTGCTACTCATGTCAAAGGAGTCCACTAATATATTTGGAAACTCTATACTTGAACTTTAAAGTAGGTCAATATTTCGATCATGCTTCATTCATGCATATCCAAGTGATTGATCGAGCATCTCTATGCCCATATAGCCCATGAAACCGCGCTTTCCAATCAATCTTACATGCTAGTCCGTTTACAGAAATCATTTATGTCCACTTTAATGATTTCGAACTAGGAACTTAAATAATATATGAAATTTGTTCACATGTGGGGTTTCATTCACCAGGTCATCAACTTGATGAGCCTATTAATTAATAATTATTTTGGACATTTATTTAATTTTCAAAACCATAATTAAATAAGAGAAATGAAATTTCTGTTTAAACATAATTCTACAAATATATGTATTCCTTATGTAATATGTTTTTCTCAAACATACACAACTTAAATTACATAACTTGCTACAATACAAGACTTTGGTATGACTATCATGCCTTAGTATGTGGAAGGGGTTAAATAAGTAAATAAGCAATATTCTCACTTATATTAAAACTTTGCAGATCATGACGTCCTACTAGTCAATGATCTAGGAAATAAGGTGATATCTCATATCTATTTGTTTGGATTTTTGATGTCACTCTGTCTCCTTTGTTTTGGTAAAGGTATCCTTTTAGTCACAGGATAATTTGATACAAACTTTCTTCTTAATTGCTTTTACGTACTGCAGCTAAATACACATATTCTGACATTGAGTATGCAACAATGCTCTGCTTTAAACACTTCAAGCTCACTGTATATCCATTCAGACATGGAATGTATCCAAATAAACATCTAAAAATCATCTTTCCTGTTTGGAAAACTTGCATCGTATAATCTTTTGACAACTTGTTCACATGTCCACCATAAACTAGAAAAATTCCTTTAGTCCTTCTCAAGTACTCAAGGATTGGTTCTCAGTAGCTTTTAATATGCTTATCTTGAATTTTCTTGAAACCTGGTACACATGCACAAGTCATATGTAACATCTTGCTTTGTACATATCATGACACATAATGGACCCTTTTGCCAAAGCATAAGGTGCATTGTCCATACGACTCAACTCTATTAGCTTTTGAAGGCATTGAGTTTTATTGAACGTAATACCATGAGACATGGGAAGATATCCTCTTTTAGTGTATTGTATCTTGAACTTTTCAAGAATCTCATCAATATGAGTCTCTTGATTAAGTTTAATTATTCTTCAAGATTCCTTTCGTGAATCCTTATTCCCAATATTTATTCAACATCTCCTAAGTCTTCCATATAGAAACAACTCCTTAACCATTACTTAAACGACTCAAGTATTGATATGTCATTTCATATGAACTGTATGTCATCTACATACAAGACTAAGAATAACAATTACTCCCACTAAACTGCTTGTCTACACAAGTACATTTTTGTTCTTTAAGGAAATCAAACTGTTTGATTGCCTAATCAAAACGAATGTTCCAACTCTCTGATGCTTACTTTAATCCATAAATGAATTTCTAAAGTTTGCAAAACTTTCTAGGAATCTCTAAATTTCAAAACCCTTAGGTTGTATCACATCCTCCATCATGAACATTCAAAGAAGGCAATTTTTATATCCAAATGCAAAACTTCATAATCGAAAAATTTTAGCAATCACTAAAAGAATCCAAATAGTCTCGCAACAAATAATAGGTTTCACCCCATTTGTAAGACTATCATGGACTAAAACATCTTTACAGACATGGAGTCCATTCTGGATTCATGGCCTTAAGCCACTTCCTGAGTTGGTGCTTACCAAAGCTTGCTTGTAGGGTGTGAATTTCAACCATTCCAAATAGGAAAATTTAAGAATCCACCATTTACTAGAATTTCAACAACCTGTTTGTTTATATCCTAAATAACCTATAATATGTAAAAGCAACAATAAAATTGTTCTCTTCAACTCTTTGAAGCCTTTCATTCAAGTGGGATGATAGAAGACTCGCTAGTTGAATTAGCTTTCTTCGACATATGATTTATCAAATTAGCTGATTTCATGCGCCCTATTCCCATCTTATCTACTATGTCTAGGAATTTGTCAACGTCCGAATCTTTCTTAAACTCTCTCCTCCCACTACCTAGAGTTCTACCCTTCATCCTATACCATACTGTAGGGAATTATTTCAAACATCAACTTTGAGCCCCACTGTTATCATGCATTTAAGCATGGTGGCGTCCAAAGGAAAGGAAGCTAGATCGAGTAAAAGAGTCGCCAACAAGTTTTAGGAACTTGTAAACCGTTCACAGGTGAAGGTTACACCCAATGTCCCCATTCACGATCACAGAGATCGCTAACTCCATAGTCACTACACAAAAATAGCCTGTTTCCGACGGAATTCCGTCGGAACGGGTTGTCTGAAAATGGTTCGTAGAAAATGGACCCTTTCGACGGAAAATTCCGTCGGAAACACTTTTCCAACGGAAGTTGGTCGTCGACAGAGGTTTTTCGGCACCGGATAAATCCGTCATAAATCTCCGACGGACACGATTCCCTCGGAATGTTGCGATGGCAAATCCGTCGAAAAAATATTAAAAAAACAAAAAAAGCATCCACCACCTTCACCACCAGCTTCCACCCCCACCACCAGCCCAAACCACTAGCTACCACCCCCACCACCAGCCCCTAATCTGATCCACCACCCACACCCACAGCCCACCCCTAACCCATATTTATAGAGAAGGAGGATATAGAAATGAGGAGAGGGTAGAACGAAATAGAGGAGATGACCAGAGAAGAAGAGAGGAGAGGAGAGAGAAAGAGGAGAGGGTAAGAGGGAGGCGCATAGTAGAGAAGAAAGAACATATAGAATAAAGAATAAAAGGGTAAGGAGTGTCGGTAAGGGTTTATAAAGTAAAGGGCATTTTAAAAAAAATTGTCTTCCGATGGATTTAAATTCCATAGGAAATTTTGAATTATGACGGAAAATTATGTCGTAAAATATATATTTTCCGACGGATTTAAATTCCGTCGGAAATTTCTGACGGATTATTTAAATTCGTCGTAAATTTTCGATAGAAATAAAATCCGTCGGAAATTTCGAAATTTACAACGGAATTATACGTCCGTTGGAACGAATCCGTCGGAAATAGGCTGTTTTCTAGTAGTGAGTGGTCCTGAGCCATAGCTGGATATTTAAGGATGATGGTACGAATCCAACCTAAAAGAGATTAAACCTGCCCTAAATAGGTCTCCACTTTATTCTTATCATATTCATGTCGCTTTCCGATTAACATACAATCAATAAATTAATGCTGAGCATATTTAATCTATATTGGTTGATTATTAATGTACAAATAAATCTATTATTGGCAATCACTTTAATTAATATCATATTAAGCCTAAATCAAATAATTAATTATCTTATTAAGCGTGATTTCAAATACAAATTCTCTTTAAACTTGCAAGAGAGGACGTGATCAAGCAATAACAATAATAATCATGAATAATCAAGTAAGGTATAGTAATTATAACATTGACACAACAAATCATCATCATCATATTAATCTTATCAAAGCATAATATTAGCAATATCTTAGGCATGATACTAACATGATTGATAACGAATCTTAGCATGTCACTTAATATAAAAAATCAAAGATTTATCCTAAAATGATACTAGAAATCAATAAAGACATCCTAACATGATACTAAGAAACAATAAAAGCATCCTAACATGATACTAGGAATTAATATAATAATTTAAGCATGATTCCTACATCAAAGGGATAAATAAGTAATCAAATTACTTACTTTGAAGCCTCATACCTCTTTTTATTAAAACAATACACGCGTTAGTAACTTCAAGAAAGATTAAATCAAATAATCAAATAATTAATTGAAATATGGATTTGGGACCAAACCCTTAGAACTATCAATCTTTCACGTCGAGGTCTAAGGCAACTTTGAGCTTGATTAGGTGTATTAGTGTCTCGTAAATGAGGAACGGTGATCAAATTAATTAAGAAAAATAAAAGGAATGTG